AGTTAAAGGTAGATCTAAATGAACCCTGAGCCTAATTGTCAATCCTTTGCACCTTATGAATAGTATATAACAAATAACTTAAGCTGTTTTTTCAGCTATTATGCAAAACACACACACAAAACAATACACAAATCCCCGCACAAAACACAACACAACACACACAAAAATGAAAAACAAAAAATAATGAATGCAAAGCACAGTTATATTTCCRCGATTCCGCTCATCAGCATGCTGTACTATTTTTCTCATTATCACTAAAAAAAAGCGTTMTGTGAAATCGCTCACTTTTCTAATAAAATCCGCCAACAATAAGGTRTTCAAGCTCCAATTCAATGGCTTTTGTTACTTTTCTTCGTTAATCTACGTTCGACAATCGACGCTCTGTTGTCCCTGACTGAATGGTACACATACACTTGGTCAAGTTCATGCTCCAAGTCCTCATATAAGGTATGTAAACGTTTCAATGATTGATCAGGTTTTGTTCCGGTGGAATTGCTCTGCAGGGAGCGAGATTGATAGAATCCTTTCTGTAGCCTGGTCTACATTTGGTTGGGCATAACTTAACACTGAGGGCAATATAAACTGAACTTCTKACCTTTATTCTTCAACAATCTGAACGCACACTTCACTGACTTTAAGGTTCCTTTACTTCATGCGARAGTGCAAGTGTGTTTGTGTGGYTCACTAATAAACCAAACACAATAAACTAAGTTAACTAAGTTACAATTGAAAACAATGGCTTTGACGGCCCGATGAACAATTGACAATTTACATTAATAAATAATAGGAATTACCGAGAAAAACTTAATAAGCATATAGAAATAATTTTTATACACAGTATTTTGATACCAGAAAAAAGTCTACTTACAATTTAGTTGCAATTTTCCAGGTTAAAAAGGTCAAAGGGCTTGCCCTAACTTGCCCAACAGAAAACTTTTCTCTTGACTACGGTAACTAAGTACGCGTCATAGTGACGTCAATATACTAATATGGCAACACAGGAAACCCGAAAACATATGTAAATTAAAGATGGCCGCTCGTAAACACGTTTTTTGTGCTAGAAAGAATTCTACTTTAAAGTGATTAAACTTGTCTGAAAAGGTAAACTAAATGTACAAATTGTTGCCTAACACTTTCTATAAGGATTCAGGCATTCTTGTTAATTTTCACCCGCAGTGATTCACAGCAACTCAATCACAAAATAAAGCTACACATGAAGCTCTGATCACTGACAATATTGGATTTGTATCACTTCTTCAGATCTTGTATTGGCAGCTTATTTGACATACTTGGTTTATATTTAGCTGCTTAGAAAGTATAGACATCGAGAACACTTTTCAAAAGCTATATTAGAAAGAGGCAATGTTTTTCTCGCAAATTATTCATGCGGATTCTTGCGAAATCAGTGATACCAGTCAAGAGTTGTCAAATGATCATTTGCTATTAGTAAATCATCCATGTAAAAG